GACAGCGACAGAAAAATCCAAAACAAAGTGGTAGTGATATGTCGTCCATCGACTGGGAAGGGCTGCGAAGGCTACGGATCACAGCCGTCACCCGTCGTCCGGCAGCGGATAACCAATACTTTGAGTTAAGTTTTCTCCAAACAAACGCCAACCCCAGTGCCAACGCGGTAGAGGTCGGACCGGGCGAGCAATACCAGCACATTGGCGGAGGCCACGACTCACTGCTATCCGCCCGGAGCCGCGTCAGTGGCCTGTTCTACGCCGGGCCGTACCGTTGGGACAGTCGGCAAATGCCGATGATTGACGCCGAGAAAGACGTGCGCCAGTACTGGGGACGACACGCCCGGCGCCAATACGGCACACATGTGTACTGTCAGCGCACAGGCAACCTATCGATGGTTACTCTGGAGTTGAAAAACGGCAAACAGTTTTACGTGACGAGTCCGGAGCCCATCAATCAGTTGTATCCGTGCGTACGGTTCGAGATCGGCGGCCAATACGGCGGGATTGACGGTATGAACGCGTTTGAGGGCACAGTCAACGGCAACTGTGAGACGTGGTGGGCCCCTACGGGCGAACAAAATCGGCCGTTCACTTACACGGCTTGCTATTGGCTGAGCGCTGGTCTCGCGTACCGGCGCTTCACTAGCAACCAGTACTTAACGACTGGCGACCGGTATTACGCGCGATCGCCGGCGCTGTACTTTGATAGCCACCGGTGGGGCGCCGTTCACGAGCTGACCGACAGTAACGCCACGCAAGTGATCACTGATATGATGGCCGACAGCGCCGGACAGGCGGCCCGATTCGTGCTGTATGTGTGCGCCGGAGCCAAACTGATCGTTACGGACCCATACCTGGAAACAGTTGACCCGATGGGAAAGCAGAAAAATTTCACCCTGGTGCAAGCGGGTGGATTCGTGGTGGTGGAGGGCGACCTGGAGCTAAAGGCACCCCAGTCGGGTAAACTGAGCCGCCCATTTCAGCTCCAGAATTACGCCAAGGGTGACAAAACCCTATTCAAGTGCCTGTTGTCACCGGCCGGTCGCCTCAAAGACAATCCGCCCGCGAAAGGATCGGTCAAAACGGTGCCCACAGTAACGGATCCAGTGCTGGAAAGGTTGTCTAAAATCAAAAGTCCGGTGCTATTTCTGGCCCCCAATGAGTCCGAGTACGGGTCCATTGCGTGGCATTTGGTTATTGAACATAACGTCCGCACCAGTCAAGCGACGGGAGTGACCCCCGAACCGAAGTCTGAGGACAGACACTACTATCTGGTGATTCCAGAGGGCGGAAGATTTGAGGCCATCGAAGACTGGGAGAGTGGAGGCCGCGAATTGCTCGCCCGGTATCAGTACGAGCGCCTGTACGAGCCCACAGTCGAGATGGACACCGGGTGTCACATACATCCGGGTAATGTGTTTGCAGTGCCGGCCCAACGGGCAATGCTGGACAAAATATTGGGCATCGGCGCCGACCGCACCATCTATACCAACATCTGTCTCATGAGTTGCAACTACTATAACAAACAGACGGCCAGAGATCGCGCGCCCCTTCCCGTTGTGTACAACAGTTTCAAATGCACTCAATGGCCGGGCGGTCGGCAGAAACCGAATTTGCGACCATTCGTGAGACCCGACTGGCCGTTAATACAGTACAAGGAAATGCCGAAATACAAGTGCTTTCGTACGGCCGGCGCCAGTTTGATGTCCACCCAATGGGCGCGCAGAGATCACAGTCAACAACAGGCCGTAGATCCGAGTGACCGACTCTACAGATCGGCCAATGCTTTCAAGGATAACAACCAGAAAGAGTACTTTACTGTAAGGAAAGGTCGGCACCCGATGGACGTGTATGAGTACAAAAGGCTTCCGTACGGCCAGTGGTTGACCGACGATCAGTTTGATGGCCAGAAGGCGTACGTCGGGATCGATGGCTGTCATTACTGGAAGATCGGCGCCCAACCGGTCGGTCGATACGACGCCTTGTATTACGCCTACGCGGGCGCACCGGCAGAGACCGTCCCCTCAATGAAGTCGTCGACAGCGCCGGTAGTCTCCAAAGGGAAGGGAAAGACCGGATGAGAGACAGACAGTTGACTAGAAATCAATACAAATGTAAGGGGAAAGGGAGGCAATAGTATTGGTTTCCTTATGACATTTCTATACACAAAGTTTTGTAATATTAAAGTGTTTTAGTTTTTGAGTAAATGTTGATTTTTATCAGTATTTGAACTTAAATATCAATTGAAATAACATTGAAATTTAGACAATTTTTATAATCATTATTATTAATGAGCGTTAAGTTAAGTGTTTGGTTTTGATGAGTGCTAAAATTATCAATAATTATTAATTACAACTGATAGCAACAAATAATTCAATTTGTATGGTGTGTGTAACTTTATTTTAAACATAATGTGCTGCATTTAAAAATTACATTTTGTACGATTTATACTGTATATTGTTGAGAAAAAATCAAATCAAATATTAAAAATTATAAAGTGATTACAAAGTGAAAGTCATTGCAATTAAAAGCAAAACATTGGACATCGGATCCCAATTTCTGTGACACATAGAGACAGGAATTACAGCTTCAGTGGTCACACATTTAGACACCGGGGAAAAGGCAGAGACCAAGTAATCAGTGATATGTCGTCCATCGACTGGGAAGGGCTGCGAAGGCTAAGGATCACAGCCGTCACCCGTCGTCCGGCACAGAATAACCAATACTTTGAAATAAGTTTCCTCCAAACAAACGCCAACCCCAGTGCCAATGCGGTAGAGGTCGCACCGGACGACAAATACCAGCATGTTGACTTCGGCCACGACACACTGCTATCCGCCCGGTGCCGCGTCAGTGGCCTGTTCTACGCCGGGCCGTACCGTTGGGACAGTCGGCAAATGCCAATGATTGACGCCGAGAAAGACGTGCGCCACTACTGGCGCCGTCACGCGCGGCGCCAATACGGCGCCCACCTATACTGCCAGCGCACAGGTATCCTATCGATGGTTACTCTGGAGTTGAAAAACGGCAAAAAGTTTTACGTGTCGAGTCCGGCGCCCGTCAATCAACTGTATCCGTGCGTACGGTTCGAGATCGGCGGCGCATTGGACCGTAGGATTGCCGGTAGGAATGCGTTTGAGGGCACAGTCGACGGCAACCGTGAGACGTGGTGGGGCCCGAGGGAGCGCAACAGGCCGTGCACTTACACCGCACGCTATTGGCTGAGCGCGGGTCTCGCTTATCGGCGCTTCAACACCGACAAGTACTTTACGAGAGGCGTCCGGTTTTACACGCGATCGCCGGCGCAGTACTTCTATGGACACCAATTGGGCGGTGTTTACGAGCTGACCGACCAGAACGCGGCGGATGTGGTCAGACATATGATTGCCGACAGCGGCGGACAGGCGGCCCGATTCGCGCTGTATGTGTGCGCCGGAGCCAAACTCATAGTAACCGACCCCTATCTGGAAACGGTTAGCGTCGGGGGAAAGCATCAAAATCGCACCTTGGTGCAGGCCGGTGGGCTCGTGTTGGTTGAGGGCGACCTCAAGCTAATGGCGCCCCAATCGGGGAAAGCCTTCCGCACGTTTCAGCTCCAGAATTACGCGACGGCCGACACAACACAATTCAAGTGCCTGTTGTCGCCGGCGGGTCGGGTGGCCGTCAATCCCCCGGCGAGAAGACCCCTCACAAGAGTGCCCACAGAGACGGACCCAGTACTGGAGAGGTTGTCCACATTGCGCTGTCCGGTGCTATTCCTGGCGCCCAATGAGTCGGAATACGGCTCAATCGCGTGGCAGTTGGTTATTGAGCAGAACGTTCGTAAGGGTCAGTGGACAGGTGTGGCCGCAGAACCTACCGTCAAGTCTACGGACAGGCGATGCTATCTAGTCATACCACAAGGCGGTCGGTTTGAGGCCATAGAGGACTGGCACAGCGGGGGAAGCGATGAAGTGATCGCCCGCTACGCATACGAACGCCTATACGAGCCCACAGTCGAGATGGACACCGACTGTCACTTACATCCGAACAATGAGTTTCAAGTGCCCCCACGAGACATGTTGGACAAAATATTGGGTATCGGCGCCGACCGCACCATCTATACCAACATCTGTCTGATGAGCGCCAACTACTATAAGCGACAGAAAGCCAGAGATCGTCACGCCTTTCCCGTTGTGTACAACTCATACAAATGCACGCAATGGCCGGACGGCGAAGAAAGCCCAGATTTGCGACCATTCGTGAGACCCGACTGGCCGTTAATACAGTACAGAGAAATGCCGGACTACAAGTGTTATCGTACGGCCGGCGCTGGTTTGATGTCCACCCAATGGGCGCGCAGAGATCACAGTAAAAAACAAGCCGTAAATCCGAGTGACCGGCTCTACAGATCGGCCAATGCTTTCAAGGATAACACACAGAAAGAGTACTATATTGTACAGAATGGGCACCCGATGGACGTGTATGAATATAAAAGGCAACCGTACGGCCAGTGGTTGACCGACGATCAGTTTGATGGCCAGAAGGCGTACGTCGGTATCGATGGCTGCCATTACCTGAAGATCGGCGCCCAACCAGTGGGTCAATACGATGCTTTGTATTACGCTTACGCGGGCGCACAGGTAGGCACTCACCCCCCCCCAACTAAGTCAACCTAATAAGACTGATCGGTGACTTCAATACAATTATGACAGAAAAGGTAGACAATAGTATTGTTTCCATTGAAATATAGCATTCAATTATCTCAAAAAAGTATATTGAAATATTAAAGTGTTTAGTTAAAAAAAAACATTTTTTATTTGTATTTAAATACAATTTTTTGAAATAATTTTATTAATAGAATACGGTAAAGATCTATTTAAAAATATAGAAATAAAGTTACTTACTTACTTTATAAGTAAAATAAATGATGTATAACTTTATGACATAAATTCAGATAAACAAATAATTTTATTTCAGAAATTTCAACGTTTAGCCAAACATTTCTAGTTATTGTATTAGACTTTAACAGTCATAAAACCGGAATCCAGATTAAATCTGAGCCCTCCGTCGACCACCAGATTGTGTCCCGTTATGAATGAGGCGTCCGTTGAGGACAGGAATACCACCCCTTTTGCCATATCGATGGGCAGTCCCACCCGACCCAGTGGTGTGGCGTCGGCTATACGTTTGGCATTGGCTACTGAGTGCGGGTTTGTTGTGTTTACGGGATGCGACTGAGTGGCACCCGGACTTTAACAAGGTAATTAATTGATTATATTGTTTTCATGCATTATTTTGCTCTCTCTCTCTCTCTCTCTCTCTCTCTCTCTCTCTCTCGTACCTCAAAGTATTGACTCTAATGCCAAACGGAGCCAACTCTAGGGCCAAAACTTTTGTCGCCATTTCTAGCGCCTGTTTCTGCAACTCGTAGGCAAGCATTGCTTTTTGCTAATCAATAAAAATGCATCACCACGATCAATTACAATATTTAAAATTACCGTACAATAATTAGTGAATAAATAACTACATGAATTTAATGGTGACTAACCGGGCGTTGGGACAGCACACTAGATATGTTGATAACAGTGCCCTTAGACTTGATGAGTGCGGGAGCGGCCATTTGGATGAGATGAAGGGGCGATCGCACGCCTATACTCTCAAACGAGTCAAACGTTTTCCAGAAGGTGTCGGCCGTAAAGTTGGCGAACATAAAGATGTCCGCGTCGTTGACCAACACATCCAACTTACCAAAGGTTTGCACCGTTTGTTTCAACAAGTTTTCCAACTCATCCGATACGGTCAGGTCGGCAACAACTTCCAGGGGCTGTACATAATTGCATTTAAAAACTATTTAAATCGAGATTGGTTATCCGTAAACTTACCTTCAGCTTCTTGGGCGACAACGCCTGAGCCTCTTTGGCCACCCGTGCGATGTCGGCCTCCTTCCTGCCGGTGACCACAACACTGGCGCCCAAAGCCGAGTACAGTTTGACGATCTGTTCACCAATGCCTGAGTTAGAACCGGTCACCAGAGCTACCTTCCCGTCAAAGTTACGTGACTCCCGAACCTCTTGATAGATATCGGGCTCAGAGCTAATGACATGTCCGCTGACCAAAGTCACCACTGCTAACACATATACAATAAACATTATGATCACAATTACTTTCTTTCAATGATTAATCAAATAATACTAGATTTGTATTGAGATGGATTTTCTTCTAGACTATGGTTTATATTTATAGTTTTTCAAAATTTATTATTGGTAAATTGTCTTTCATTAAATTATTATTTAATCAAAAGTTGCACTAATAATCTAAAATTTAGCTAGGTTACTGTACAAACTTATTACTATGTCTAATGAAGTTTCTATAAGTTAAAGTTGCCCCTAATTTTAATTATAATTAATTAAATAGGATTATCAGTCTTATTAGCGATGTTTCAAAAACTCACTTCAAAAGTTTACAGTTGATAAAATTATCTGATAAACTAACAATTTTATAATGAATATTGATATAATATTAAATGCAATTTATTTCGTTTTAATCCTAGATTATTGGTTCACATTTTTTGGTTTACTTTTAAATTAAATCAAATGTCATTTAAAATAGTTGTTAAAACTATATTAAACAAACTGGTTAAGTGGTTTTTGATAACAATACTATTCTTACGAGTTAGCTTAACATAATCTTAATGCAAAAATTATTTATGTTTCTAATGTAATCAGTTCTAGACTTGGTAAATTAACATGTCAATTTAACGACACGAGTGTGATTGTTAAATGTAATCACATAATTATAAGTTATAATTTATAACTATTGTACAATATATCGTTCAATCTGTTATTAAAATAATTAGTTCACAATATTGTCAGCTGATATGAAATTATCAAATATTTGACAATTTAGTTTACTTTTGAATAACTGTATAAAAACATTCAAAAAATAATTTTATCATTTAATAATTTTAAAAACTATTTTCTAAACATTTTTATTATCAAAACATCCAAACCATGTTTGCTGTGTATGTGTTATCACTGATCGCTTTGGCCAATGGATTGGTATCAACGGATCTGATGGCCACTGACCGGGACTACTACGCGGAGGTGCGGGCGTCCCGCGACTTCACCGGTAAAGTAGTGTTAGTGACGGGCAGTAGTAGTGGTATTGGGGAACAGATCGTCAAACTATTCTCGGCTTTGGGCGCAAACGTTGTGGTGACCGGTCTTAAGGACACAGACATTCAACTGACTTCACCGGTAAAGTAGTGTTAGTGACGGGCAGTAGTAGTGGTATTGGGGAACAGATCGTCAAACTATTCTCGGCTTTGGGCGCAAACGTTGTGGTGACCGGTCTTAAGGACACAGACATTCAACGGGTGGTCAAAGAAGCGCAAGCGCTGTCTCCTAAAGGACTTAAGGTATAAATACTTAACATGTAATAACAAAATAATCATGAACATGATGGTTATTATGCCATTTATAGGCATTGGGTTTGGTGGCAGACCTGACCAAAATGGATCAGTTGACAAGCCTATTGGTCGAGACGGTGAAGACATTTGGCCGACTGGACGTATTGGTAAACAACGCCGGGCTATATCTGTTGGGAGATGTGGCGGACCCGAGATATTTGGACATTTTCGACGCCTTCGAGAAAGTGGACACTCGGGCCGCTCTTCAGCTGATCCAGAGTGCCGTCCAATACCTCGAGAAAACCAGCGGCACTGTTATTAATGTGTCCAGCGTTTTGACCAAACATCCCGTAAGTAATACAATAAACAACACAATTTGTGTGATTGTACTTATTGTGATGATTGCAATTATTTACATTGTACCATAATTAAACAATGACAGCAAAAATCAATGTTAGCCTACGAGATGGCAAAACAGGCCCTCGAGTAGAGTGACCAACTCGAAAAATGAGAAACCTGTACATTTCCTATACTTTCTTCATAAATTCCGAGACATTCCTGTACATTTTAGTGAACTTCCCTGTACGCTCACCTGGACACTAATTTTCTCAACAGAGCATAATTATAGGTAATCGTAATTTGTACAAACAATTCCTCGCATTCCTGTACAGATAAAATTGTGTATATTATGACAAGATAAATTAATTGAAAATCAAAATATAAACTTATTTCAACTACAATTTTGACAAAATTAATAGACAATTGCATGTCTTAGATTGAAAACCAATAATATTGTTATAAAAGTATAATATTTGATCTGATTTTTATCAGTTTCTCGCCTGGACATTATATAGTACAGGCGAGACACCTGCCTGTACACTGAACAGATTATCCAAAACCTGTACTGTACAGGCTAAACCTGTACGGTTGGTCACTCTACCCTCGAGTTGTCCACTCAACTACTCTCGATAGAGTTGGCACAACAGCACATTAGAGTTAATAGTATCAGGCATGAATAAAAAAAACTTATCCTGGTTAATCAATTATATTTTAATAATTTTTAACTTGAATATAATTATAGTCAGGGGGCAGTACAGTCACATCCACTCAATCAAACGGATCCGATAGCTGTGGCCCGATATAACAAGTCGGTCAGTCATACTCCGTTGGGTCGCATAGGAGTGCCCATGGATTTGGCCAAAGGGGTGGCATTTCTGGCGTCGACTGACGCCGAGTTCATTACCGGTCAGAATGTGGTGATAGACGGAGGCCTCAGCTATAATCTGGACTCAACTTTTATGATAACTACTAAATAAATTGTGTATTAAATAAGACATACATGTTTTGGTGACAAATAAAATAAAGTTTTATTTAATTAATTTAAATACATTAACTTAACAATTTAATTTATTTAAATATATCCATAAAATAACCATGTTGATTATAACCGAAGCCACCATCGACCACAATATTAGCACCCGTTATGAAATCCGCATCACTGGATGCAAGGAATACCACCCCTTTAGCCACATCGAGGGGTTGTCCGAGTCGTTCAAGAGGTGTCAAATTGATTATATTTTTAACCATTTTCTTAATCAAATCCACACTCATATCCATGTGTGGGACTTGAATGGTTCCCGGACTATACATCACAACCAATTAATACATTAAATAATAATGCAATTTAATTAATTAAAAATAAAATCATTATCATTTTCAACAATTTAGTGATAAAATATTCATTATCATAAAGTGTATGTTTTTTTTGTAAATGCACATTTGTAGTAAATCAACAACTTTTGTAATTTCTAGCAGAGATTATTTAAAATTTAACATTCACAAAAATAAAGTATATACATGTAAAGATATAAGTAGGAACTAGTACACTTATAACATTGAAAGTCACGTGATTGGTCACTTCCGGTCACATCGGGGTTACCAGGGGGTGGGGTCAACATACAAATGACCAATTAGTGGCCGGAGTGGCCGGAATCGCCAGTGGAGTAACCAAAGGTAGTAGAGTCAGATGTCCAAGCTGCCCACTGGTTAGGTGTCCACTCTGGCCAATTACTATGACTAGTATGCTGTCCAACACGGGTAACTGCTGGACACAGCCGGAACTCGAAAAGCACGCAATACTTATAATTAATAAAAAGTATTTTATATATTATATAGATATTGCAAAATTAACACACAATGCACATGTTAAATTTGATAAATGTTTTATTAGTTATTAATTGCATTAAATAATATCAATGTCAATTAATTGATTAACTTGCACTACATTAATTAAAATAATAAAAACCTTGTTAAATTACAGGTATAACATTGTTAAATAAAAAGGGTTAAAATGTATAAAACTAAACATAATATATTTAATAATTAATTATTATTATATCCGGAAAAATAAAATATAAATATACCTAATATATATATATATATGAATGTATATATGTATAAATTAACCAATATCAAATGCATAATTAATTATTTTTAAGTTCCGGTGATATTAAATATTGTAACGGTGGAAACGCCCTAACCAATATTCTAAGATCTCGTGTTGCTCGCCTCTTTTGATCAGAGTCGTTCATCGCTATTATTCCTCTGTGGTTCGAAGTCATAGAGCAGCCGGGTCGGACGAGCGGACCGAGTGAGAACTCGGGGCCTCCTTATAAACGATATCTGGTGTAGAACCAGAGCATAGGGTCAACTGATTGGTTGTGGTAAAGAAAGGTAGGGGATTGCTACTCATGGATAGGCGTAATTAGATGTTGTGCTCACTTAAACGATCAATAACTTAGACATCGCGAGAGTAATTTTGGGTAGTCGGAGAAACTACTGTTATTGTTGTCGAGAGTCGACAACAACTACTGTTGTCGTTGTTATAAATCTAAAAATAGACTATCAACTACTCTATTCGTTTCAATATTAATATAAATTAATAAAGTAAAATCAAACATATAACCTTGCACAAAAATATATAAATACTTGCTTAGTTTTATTTATAAAATTTGCAGTTAATTTTTTTATAAATTGGTCGAATGATGGCAACTTTTGGCAACCATGATCAACCTGTTGACTGGCGCAATACACAAGGTCAAGTTACTGGCGACCACGATTGTATTGATCCATGGTGTGACATTCCTACCACCTCAAACTCATCTGGTCACTCTAACCCCTCCGGACAGCCTAACCAGCATGGCCTGTCTGCCTTTTCAGAACAATCCAAGTATCCTATCTATTCTCAACAAAACTATGATGGTCAAACTCGTCACCCAACCTTCTCCGGACAGCCCGACTATCCCTCTGGTCAATCTACACCCGCCCACCAATTACCGACGAGCCAGATAATATCCAAAATAGTTTAATGTATGAATATATAATATTAATAATTTTGTATTTATTTAAATTAAATGTAGCTAAAATTTTATTTCTAATTTAATATTTATTAATAAAAGTGCCAGGTTTGGCTTGATGACATTACTGTCTACAACGTTCGCCCCATTTCTTGCTCGGGACACTACATTTGTAAAGATTGCTATAAGCAAATTAAAAGTCTCAACCCGAATAATATGCGTCCCTATAGATGTCCCTACTGTTCACGTACCAGTAATTGCGATAATTTAAAAATTTGCAAGCTAAAATTTAGGCTATGGCTAGACGACTTTTGGTATACCCCCGAAACATTTGAAGCAGCTTACCCTGTTAGTAGTTAGGGGCAGGGGTGGGTATAGAGGTGGAGGTGGGGGAAGGGTATCCCGCGCATTAATTCAACCAGAATCATTGAAATTGATAGCCATGACGATGATCAATTTGATCTAGATACTGTACGTGCCTAAAGAATATCAAGAGAGCAAAATATTAATGAGCAGGCAAATATTTTGCGTCAAATTCAGCATGATAACCCTCTACCATACCGATACAACATTGAAAATTATGTTTCAATTGACTAAATGGCTATCCTAAATCAAATTCAAATAATAATATTATAATATTTATATTAAATAATGCTAAATTAATATTTTACATTTGTACAGAATAATTCGCTAGGTCAAGTTAACCCTATGCCCGGACCAAGTGGATATCAGCCACCAGTAGCTGCTGGTCATTTTACTTTAGTCAGCCTGCTGGTCAGCCTAATTTAAATTTTAATATACAGTACAACTTCTATAGACGCAACCTTTTTACAGGATATTTTTTTGTATAGCAAATAATTTCAAACTATTTAGCGGTTTTCCTACAATTCAATTGCTAACAATTTCATTATATTTGCATTCAATTTAATTATATATCTTTTGTTTTATGTAATAGTATTTCTATATTAATTTTTTTAATTAAACTTCAGTTTAAGTACATAACAAAGAGAAAAGATATTAATCTAAATCATAATTCGTTTTACATCTTTAATCTCAATCTAAAATAACAATGAATAGTGTGCGCATTCAGAGAGATGATCTGAAAGGTGGCATCACTTTCACTGCTTTTACGTCAAATGAAAAAACATTTACAATTAATACACACTGTAATCCCAATACTATAACCTGCTCACTAAATCGGGCCTATAATATGTCGACCGTTATATTCAAAACCGGGCCCCACTGCCAATCGCAGCGCTCTAATTGTCTGTTATGCACATAAATAGTATTAAAGCCAATACGAATTGCTTATAAATAAAATCATAAGAGTCAGCAATTGTACTCAATATGCGTAAGATTTAGTCTAAACTTAGTGCAAACTTTGGGCTCATTAGTGAACTCATAGTACGGGCCGATTGTCTGACTGTCTATTATATAGTATCGCTCCCATTGAGCGTTGCTCTGCGCCGGCGGACTCCCAGTGCGAGCAAATGTACTCAATATGGCTATCATTTGTCGGGAGACCTGCCGTTCCCTCTCGACATACTTGTGCTCATCAATCAGTGGTAAACCAAACATTGGATATATTTTATTTTAAATATAAATTATTTTTTCATTACCGTTTTGCTTCGACGGCGCGCCTATGGCGACAATCAAGCGGACGAGCGTAGCGACGGCAAAGAAGGTGGCAGGCATGCCGGCTGTTGCAATGGTTTCAGCGATTTCGGCGGTCGGGTATACGATATGATTGAGTGCGGCGACGGTGGCAGAGGCGGTGATAATGGCGGTTACGGCAAAAAGTGGTAGTACCCTACCGAAACGGATTTGTATATAGATTTTTACATTTTTCATTTGATGCAATTGAAATCACAAGTAATTAAACAAATATTTTAATACTTAAAATTTATTTCTAGAATATAGCGGCGGCGGAAACGAGCGGTTGTGGATGCGGAAGGTTGAGGACTGGTGATCAAATGGTAATTATGTAAAAAATTAAGTTTTAAGTTTAGCACAAAATTCAAACTTAAAGTTTGAGAGTCATAGAACTTATGACTAAATTTTTAAATTTTTAAAACATATATGAATACATGTTAACTTTAATGGTCAGTTATGGAAACTTCTAGAGAGAAAGAGAGAGAGAGAGACGATAATGGTGATGTTCAGGAAAAAATAATGACTATAATTATCATACAACGTACTGGAATGTGGTACAATAGGACGCAAACCCTAAACCATCAATCATTGGCAATTTTAGCCGTACACTCCCCTTCCATTTCGACTAATACTTTCACTACTTCTAGTTAAAATTGTAATTAAGAAGCGATTCTTATCGTTAACTCTTGATATCAGCCGAAAATATTTTTCTCACGACTGACCACTGAGTGTAGGGTAGGGGTTAACAGTACCTTAAGCACTGTCCGCTAATTCCCGTAATTGTATTGAAAAATCAATCTATTTTTTCTGCACCTGTCTATAGTATTAGCCATAAAATTAAAAATATTCGTGAGAGTGACACTGATATGTATAAATAATTGAATGGTTGGTTTGCAAGAGATAGGGCTAGAGTAAATGACCGTTGGTCAGTTTGGGAAAGTTTTGACCGAGAATGGAATGCCTGGAATGCGGTGTCTTTACTCCACAACCTCTTTTGAAAATAATTTATATAACTTTAACTATCAAAGCCTAAAGTTAAAAATTAAGTAAAAATCGAAAAGTCACGCTCTACCGCAAACAAGAATGAAGGCAATCCTGAGATTGTGATTGGTAAAATATAAGTATTATATTATTTGAATATATAAATATTAATTATTTATTTTAGTGATCCCAAAAAACTTAATGGCACAAATATTAATTTTAAAGGTATTACGACCACGATTCTACCCGCTGACTCTCCGATTCAGGTCCAAGCAACAAATGACCGTATATTACGAAGTAAATTTGTCGGACAGCGGATCATAGATTGACAATTGACAATTGACCTTGCATCTAATGATTGTATTGAGAAAGCTGTGCCAGACCCCGGTAAAGCAATACCGGTAATATCGTCTTTTTTAACATAATTTTTTGTTGTTTTAATTGATTATTGAATGTAAACAACTTATTAGCCGTTTTATGTACGAAATTCTTGTAGTGCTGTCATCTATATTTAACTATAAATTTATTTTGTGTGCTTCACACAAATCATTAGTTCACACAGTTCATGTTCACACAAATATTGTATTTTTAACATTATGTCTATGAGAAAATAGTTTATGTTTTGAGATTTGGTTCATACAAACGCATAGTTCATACAACTCATATTTCACTCAGTTCATGTTTCACTGTATCACATGATTACTTTTGTGAATGTTAAGTTTCAAATGATCTCTGTTTTACAGCATAGTAAAAAATATATTACAAATACACGGATTAAAGTTAGTTGTATTGATCTTTATCTGTAAGAATTTGTTATAAATTTTATAAAATTTTGATACTATGAGACTTATAGTATAAGTGATGTCAACAATTATTTCACAATAAATGATGTCATTTAGAGATCAGATAAGCAATCATTTATTAAAATAAGTTTTATTTAATGTGTTTCACTTTTACTGACAACAACTACCTATCATTTCAATGTTAAATAAACACAATGTCATGAGAAATCAGATTACATTAAATCCCATTTTTATCACAAATATTGTATTTACTTAAGACTACTTCAAACCATATCCAATAGACTAACACTTAAGCCATAGTCTCTATTATTCATAAGATATTAATTAGATATTACACAACAATTTAGTCGCGTATAGTGTAATAACTTTATTTTGATTAAAACCATATTAAATTAAAATTACAATTAATTAAAATAACATATACAGTTAAAAACAATTGCAAAACCATGAATGTGATTTTATATGGGTGTCATATTGAAGATGAGTCCGCCATCGACTACAAGATTGATTCCAGTGATGAACTGGGCGTCACTCGAGGCCAGGAATGCCACACCTCTGGCGATGTCTAACGGAAAGCCCGGTCTACCCAACGGTGTCTCCTTTTTAATTTGCTCTTGCTTGTCTATGGGCACCTTTATGTCCTTGTGCAATATGAATCCGGGACTAACACACACACATTTTGTTGTATAAAATTAGATTAACCCATGTAATTAATATTTATGTTTAAGTAATTAATACCTGAGCGAGTTAATCCTGACACCACTAGAGCCCAACTCCATGGCCACCACTTTTCCCATCATATCTCTGGCCGCAACGGCCGCGTCGTAAGCCATATAGTTTAGCATCTGTTTGTTATTAAATGTGCACTATTTAAATACTGTGCTTAATATATTTCAATAATATATTTTAATATAATTCATAACTAAAACAAACATTTGATTAATTAAATAAATATTTAATTATACTCTGATAATAAATACTAATAAATAATTAGTAATTGTAATAAAAATTAGTGTTAAATGTTTTATGTATATTCATAATAGCAATACTTACGGGTCGAGTGCCCTCAATGGCCGAGATGTCAATTATAGTGCCGTTTGTTTTCTTCAAATGCGGAACCGATTGTTGGATGAGTTGTACGACTGCTCTCAGATCGATGGCAAATATCTGATCCCATTTTGTCAACAGATTCGCGTCAGCGATGGTTGTGTTGAAATAAATGCCCGCATTGTTGACCAACACATCCAGTTTGCCAAACGTCTTGATCGTCTCGTCCAACAGTCGGTTTAAGTCATCGGTTTTGGTCAAATCCGCGACCACTTGCAGCGGCTTTTAATTAGTTATAATAATTATAATAATTAATTAAAACTAATTAGGAAATAAGCAAGATTTTTTTGTATACCTTTAATTGCTTTGGCGACAACTCCTGGACCTCTTTGGCCACTTTCTCCACTTCGGGTGCCTTACGGCCGGTGACCACCACTCGGGCGCCGAGAATGGAGAATAGTTTAGTGATTTCGGCGCCGATACCCGATGACGAGCCGGTGACCAAGATCACTTTGTCCGTAAAATTACGCGATTGGGCCACAGCTTTGTAGTCATCGTAAGTGAAATCCTTGAATTCAGGCAAATATTCATTTGCCTTTACTATTGAAAACAATGCTAACAATAATACAAACTTCATGTTTAATAAGTTTAATTTTGTTTGTAAAAGTAAACAATTATTACAATAGCGTTTGTATTAGTTTTAACTAAGTTTAATTAATTTACGCTCATTTGTCAGACTATTTATACTCTACCTGTTTGTGTTAAATATGGTATAAAATATACCGGTATTTGCGGACAATTTATTTGATTTGAACTAAAGTGCGTTTGTGCCTGATATTAATCCGACCCTTTGGTTGATTATGGCTTAAGCCTTAAGGGATTAATTATATTTTGTGGTACATTAATTGTTTCAGATATCATTCATTACTAAACCAATTGATATGTTTTTAGATGTCATTAACAATTGTTTTAAGTAAACACACTTTGATATTATTTATGCCGTAAGATAATCTATAATATAAAAGATTAAATTGCAGATTAATTCATTATTGTTACTGTACTTACTGTAAATATATTGATTATTAGTTCATTATTAATAATTAGTTGATAAAAAGAAAGTTGTTTTATATAAAGTTTAGTTATTAAATGATGTAATTTTAATATCTTAATAAAGTTTTGTTGAGAAAAAAGTAACCTTGATTTAAAATTTGGTAATACAGTATATTTAATGATTCATTAATAATGAATATCAAAAACTTTCAAAGTAATTATTTAATTATTCAGAGTAATCTATACAATTGACCTGGGCATCGACCGAAATTTTGGCTTCCAAAATTTAATTATGCCTATCGTGTAGAGCATAAAAAAGTAGAATAGGAATGTAATAGTAAGAAAAAATCCTATGATGTAACTTTCGAGATAATGGCCAAAACAAAAATCCCTCCCCCATATACTCTCCCATAGAAAAAATAATAAATTCAAAAAAGCGCTCAAATTTGGTGAAATCGATATAAAACCCTCTCCCATATACTCCCCCATAGAAAACAAGTTAAAATTCAATTAAATACTATTGTACAAGATTACTCTCATGTCGATTGTACACTTGTTTAATTAAAAATAAAATCTATTATTACAATAACAAATAATCATGTTATACAGTATGTTGTTTTATTAAAGCACAATTACCATGATGATTATGTGCTAGGGAAATTGTAGATAATTCCGCCGTCGACTACGATATCAGCGCCGGTAATAAAGTCAGCATCAGATGAGGCCAGAAATGCCACCGCTTTAGCCATATCTAGCGGTTGTCCAATGCGTTTAAGTGGTGTCCGCTTTTCGACCAACTTTTTAAAATCGGGCGGAAATAAATGGCTCTCAACTTCAGTAAAGCCTGGACTATAAATATAATTTATATTAATATGATTTATATAGGTATAAAATGTACCTGATAGTATTCACACGAATGCCTTTGGGACCCAATTCAAGGGCCAACACTTTAGCCAACATAGTTAGGGCTGCTTTGGCACAATTATAAGCCATTGCACTTAATCTCTGATGTTGGGATAAATTGATTTAACCAACGTTATAAATTATAACTTATAATTAATTATATTTAATAGTTATGTCTAATAGTTATATTAATTAATGTGTAATCATTTAGTTTACATACGGGTGCTGTGTCTAAAATACTGGATGTGTCGATAATAGTTCCGTTGGTCTTTTCCAAGTATGGGACGGCAGTGTGGGTTAGCTCAACAACAGCTCTCAAATCAACGTTAAACACTTGATCCCATGTAGCCATTAGTCCCGTGTCCTTAATAAAAGTGGACAAACCTATGCCCGCGTTGTTTACCAATACATCCAACTTTCCAAAAGTCTTAATGGTTTGATCAACCAATCTATTAATGTCTTCAGATTTAGTCAAATCCGCCGCAATTTCTAAGGGCTGTATCACATGGATTGACATTTATATTTTATTAAATATTTTAATTATTTGCTAATTTTATTATTAATTACCTTGATCTTATAGGGAGATAGCTTTTCTAACTCGAGGGCCACTCTATGAACGTCGGCCTCCTTTCTGGCGGTAACCACCACTTTAGCCCCCAATACAGCAAACAGTTTGGCGATACCCTCGCCTATACCAGAGCTCGAACCGGTAATTAGCACTACTTTGTCGGTAAAATTACGCGATTGTATCACATCTTTATAGTGTTGAATATCAAAGTCATTGAATTCATTTGCTTTCACTATAGAAAACAGCGCCAACAGTAATGTAAACTTCATTATTGATATTAATTGAATCAAAACTAAATACGGATTAAATTTTTAATATAAGATGATTTTCATTTATTGTTTGAATTATATACTGTTAATACAGATGTGAATTAAATTAAAAAATCCCACAAATAGATAACAAAAGATTTTACGACAATCTGTAACTGTAATGATACACTCGGGAACAAACTGTCCCCAAAAAATGATAATATTTTAGTGTAATTTTCACATGATATAAACAAGTATGTGAGAATTATCATTAGTAATGATTGTAATTAAAATTTTACTTTCAATTTGCTAACTGTAACAAATGCATAATCTAATTTATATTAATGTTATATTGTATTATAATTAGTTTTAAAATACAATTAATAATAATTATTATTAACAATTATTGTCAATTACGAAAATACTTTGTATAAAAATAAGAATCCCATTTAATAATTAAGTAAATATTAATTATAATGGATTAACTATTATAAAAAATTGCTGTTAGAGATTATAATTTTACTAAATGTTTAATTTCCTAATCAGGTTCTAAAATTATTAATTATTAATAAGTTAGCGTTAGTTAGATTAAGTTAGTATTTTAAGGACATTTTCAATTACCTCAAAGCAAAACATACAAATTCAATTTAATTCAATTTTATTTGAGTAAAGTTACTTTAATAGAAAAATTATTGGCTTGGTAAGTTATAGATAAGCCCGCCGTCAACCACTATTTCAGCGCCGGTAATAAAGTCAGCATCAGATGAGGCCAGAAATGCCACCGCTTTAGCCATATCTAGCGGTTGTCCAATGCGTTTAAGCGGTGTTTGTTTTTCAATTATTTTTTTGAAATCAGGCGGAAGTAAATGACTCTCGACTTCAGTATAACCGGGACTAATTAATATAAATATGTGGTAATTAATACATGAATTGTTACTATTCCATAAATGTACCTGATAGTATTCACACGAATGCCTTTAGGACCAAGTTCAAGAGCCAAAACTTTAGCCAACATATTGAGTGCCGCTTTGGCACTATTGTATGCCAACATACCTAACCTCTAGTACAAGGGATGAATTAATATAATTCAAATATATTAACTATTAACTAATTTTATTTGGCGTAATGTAATAAATAACATACAGGTGCTGTACCGGCAATACTGGATGTGTCGATAATAGTTCCGTTGGTTTTCTCAAGATATGGGATCGCTGTGTGAATCAGTTCAACAACTGCTCTCAAATCAATGTTAAACACCTGATCCCATGCGGCCAACAGTGCCGTGTCTTTGATATAAGTGGCCGCACCGCCGCCCGCGTTATTCACTAATACGTCAATTTTACCAAATGTTTTTATGGTTTGATCCACTAATCTTGTGATGTCTTCAGATTTAGTCAAATCCGCCACAACTTCTAAAGGCTGTAAAACATGTTCATATTTTTTTAATGTTTAAATTATTAATTAATTTAATTATTACCTTAATTTTATATGGCGATAACTTCTCCAACTCCAGCGCCACTTTATGAACGTCGGCCTCCTTTCTGGCGGTGACCACCACTTTAGCCCCCAATACGGCAAACAGTTTGGCGATACCCTCGCCTATACCAGAGCTCGAACCAGTGATTAACACTACTTTGTCGGTAAAATTTCGCGATTGTATCACATCTTTGTAGTGTTGAATATCAAAGTCATTGAATTCATTAAATAATAAATTTGCTTTCGCTATAGAAAACAAAGCGAAAAGGAATACAAACTTCATTATTGTAATTATGAATTTAATTGATCATAAAATAAAAGCTATTATTTTAAAACTTTATGTTTAAAATTACTTTTATTTGCATGTCTTTATATGCGTTAATAAAACATCTGGTTTTTGTGACTTACTTCACATTCAATTGTTTATTTAAAACATAAAATGTTATGTTTGAATTGAAATAATAAGATAAATATTATTATAGGTACGGTTAAACTTATAAAGTTTACAGGTACATGATTTTGGTGAAAGTAAAATTAATTATTAGCGATAAAACACCTTATGGCTTTTAATTATAAACTTCTCATTAAGCATTTCTGTTAATGTAAAACAATTAATTAATATAATTATTATGAAATAGACCATGATGCACTTAAAATTCATTTAATAAAAACACTAATTAAATTGCATTACAACTAATAATGTTACAATTAATTAAAAATTATTTTAACAAGTTAATTTTTATGGTTAAATAAATTATTCGCTTGGTAAGTTGTAGATAATGCCGCCGTCGACCACGATATTAGCGCCGGTAATAAAGTCAGCATCAGATGAGGCCAGAAATGCCACCGCTTTAGCCATATCTAAGGGCTCTCCAAGACGTTTAAGTGGTGTCTGTTTTATGACTAACTTTTTCAATTCTGGTGGAAATGACCAGCTGTTCACTTCAGTATAGCCTGGACTATAAATTGAGCACATGGTTAATTGATGTGTGTTTGTTATCTGCTTATCTAAGAGCCCACCTGAGAGTATTCACACGTATGCCTTTGGAACCCAATTCAAGGGCCAATACTTTAGCCAACATAGTTAGGGCTGCTTTGGCGCTACTGTAAGCCAACATATCTGACATCTAAAATAAGGTGATTTAATATTATCTACTGTAGATTCTACAATGTAGAATAATTTATAATATAGTAAAAAGCATACCGGTGCTATACCGGCAATACTGGATGTGTCGATAATAGTTCCGTTAGTCTTCTCCAGATGTGGTACCGCTGTGTGGATCAGCTCAACAACACCTCTCAAATTAATGTTAAATATCTGATCCCAAGCGGCCAACAGTCCTGAGTCCCAGATATAAGTAGACGCACCGCCGCCCGCGTTGTTTACCAACACATCCAACTTTCCGAAAGTCTTAATGGTTTGATCCACTAATCTTGTGATGTCTTCAGATTTAGTCAAATCCGCCACAATTTCTAAGGGCTGTATATATTATTAATAGATATATTTTTACATATAATTTATTTTAATATTTTTATTGCTATTGTTATTAATACAAACCTTGATCTTATAGGGGGATAGCTTTTCCAACTCGAGGGCCACTTTATGAACGTCGGCCTCCTTTCTGGCGGTGACCACCACTTTAGCCCCCAATACGGCAAACAGTTTGGCGATACCCTCGCCTATACCAGAGCTCGAACCGGTGACCAACACTACTTTGTCGGTAAAATTACGCGATTGTATCACATCTTTATAGTGTTGAATATCAAAATCATTGGATTCATTAAATAATTCATTTGCTTTCACTATAGAAAATAACGCCAACAATAATACAAATTTCATAATAATTTTTATAATTATCAATTAATTAGATTATAATTAAATCAAAATAATTATGTTTAACTAAAAGTTATTAACGTATTTATGAAATCTGCTATTTATATACTTTACCGCATATTGAAAACAGACGTGATTTAGAAATACAATTCCCACAAATTTTAGGAAAAATATAAGAAAAATAAGTTATTGGTCTAAAATTTAGACTCTACATCATGTTAAAATTACAGTTGAATATAGTTTTTTAAAACTTAAACTATCTTATCATATTATGATTCTTATCGCATTGGGTACTGTTTGTATTGATAATTACAATCGCTTGCTAATATAATAATTCTTATCATTGCTTGAAATAATCTTGACAATTTTCAGTGAATTTACCTTAAATATAAAGCAAATTTAATAAAAGTAATTTGGGTTTAAACAATTGCATATAATATTAATAAGTGTAAAATAACATATTTTTAAGTATTGTAATTTTTTAAAAATATTGAAATTGAAGTAACTAAAAATAATAATTGTGATATTATTGCAAAACTAAAATTCTGTATATTTTTAATTAAAATATAAATATTAAAATTTTTATATCAATTATTCAAATGATTTGCGGAAATAGTTGTGGAGTAGTCCGCCGTCGACTGCCATTAGATCTAACATTAGCTACAGTACCCGCACTATAACGTACTAATACTTAACAAACTTATATATAAAATACCTGCAAATAAAATATACAGAAAATATAAAGATACCTTGACAATATTGTATGTTAACTATTGGTGCACATGCACTACATAATAATAATAATAGTGCGATGAAGGTTAAACACTAATGCACTAGTATTTCAAAAGTCACTTTTATGCTATAAAATTGTATTTTACTAAATCAAATAAAAAGCTTAATTCAGTTAATGGTTTGTTAATTAAATGTATATATGGCTCATATTCTGCTCAATAATTTTGATTTACAGGTAAGGGCGGGAAAGAAGTTCGCCAACTGTAAGAAACTGTACGTTTTGACTTTAACTAAGTAATTATATGTGCAATTTATTATTATTAAATATCACTTATACAGTAATACTGTAGTAATAAGTAAATTTGTTATCTTAAATCTAATATCCGTAAAGTTATTAATAATCTGACCCACATGTATTATAAAGACATTTACATGTCTAGAGTTTATGGCACTACCTTAAAATGACAGTAGAAAACATTTAATCTAACTAAAATTACGGTTTTAGATTATAAAAAATGAAATATTGATATTTAAATATAAATTCAAGTTTATATTTATTAATTATGAAGTCCCCATATTATAAATAAGTCCGCCGTCGACTACAATATTAGCGCCGGTAATAAACTGGGCGTCGGTTGAGGCCAAGAATGCCACCGCTTTAGCCATATCTAACGGTTGGCCGAGACGTCGAAGTGGTGTTTGTTTTTCAATTAACTTTTGTACATCGGGGGGCAGTCCATGGGTGTCCACTTCAGTATAGCCAGGGCTTTAGATTTATACAAAATATATTGTATTACCATGGTGTATAATGTATTTAATTATCACATAATATAATAAATACCTAATAGTGTTGACACGAATACCTCTAGGGCCCAATTCCAGCGCCAGAACCTTAGCCAACATATTGAGTCCGGCTTTGGCACAGTTGTAGGCCAAAGAGCCTGGTATCTAATATAGTAATTAATTGTATTAATATAACATGATTAATTTAATAGGTCAGTTATGTGAACAAGTCATAAACAATGTGTCAAACCGGATGTATTCCTGCAATACTAGAAGTATCAATAATAGTGCCGTTTGTTTTCTCTAGGTAGGGCACAGCCGTGTGGGTCAGCTCGACGACAGCCCTTAAGTCAATCCCAAACGTAAAGTCCCACGATTTCAACAAATCCGGATCACCGATAAGAGTGGCTTTTCCGGCGCCGGCGTTGTTCACCAATACATCCAACTTTCCAAAAGTCTTTATGGTTTGTTCAACCAATCTATTAATGTCTTCAGATTCAGTTAAATCCGCCGCAACTTCTAAGGGCTGTTGTAATACATGGATATTTGATATATAATACATGGTTTTTATAAAATGATTGCATGATTGAATGCTATATTTATTACTAGATACCTTGATCTTATAGGGGGATAACTTTTCTAATTCGAGGGCCACTTTATGAACGTCGGCCTCCTTTCTGCCGGTGACCACTACTTTAGCCCCCAATACGGCAAACAGTTTGGCGATACCCTCGCCTATACCAGAGCTCGAACCAGTGATTAACACTACTTTGTCGGTAAAATTACGCGATTGTATCACATCTTTGTAGTGGTGAATATCAAAATCATTGGATTTATTGAATATTTGGTTTCCTTTCACTATAGAAAACAACGCCAACAGTAATACAAACTTCATAGTTAATACAAATTAATTTTAACAACGAGTGTAAAGTGAATATCTAACCAACATTTTACTATCACTTTATATACGGTTAACACACCTGTGGTTTAAAGTTAAATTTCCCACAAAATTTTCAACAAATGCCAGTACTTGCATAAATAAATCTAGTGCAATCTTGATCTTACCTTAGTCTTATAGGTACTAATATTATCGCACTGCACTAAAACATTCAATCAATATCCTACTTTATTTATTAAAGTGGTTAATTTACTAATTTTAATTAATTATCTTATCATTGCTTATTAATCTATTTAATTCCAATTCAAGTATTCAGTTTACAGCCAAACAATTAACAACTTAACAAAATATAATATATTTTATATTTACTCACAGGTCAGTGCAAAATAAATTTTAATTAAATATAATCTAAATATATTAAAACCTCTAGTTTTTAATTAATTACTTTCTATCATTGACCGGATATTTGCATAAAAATCGGTTTAATTATAGAAACTGTTATTTACTGTTTTGTAAAAATTCAAATGATTTTACATGTAAGAGGTTTTAATGACCAATAAGTTATAATAACACATCTGGTTTGCATTCAAAATTGATTATTATAATTTGATTAAAATATTAATTTTTATTGTATATTTCATATAACATAATTATATAAATTATTTTATATTAAAATTTAAAATGTATAAAAAATAATTTATTTATAAATAATAATTATTAATCATAAGGTTTGTTGGGAACGTTAAGGAGAAATCCTCCGTCGACTGCCATTAGATCTCCGGTTATATATTGAGAGTCAGTCGACGCCATAAACACTACGGCTTTCGCGATGTCCAGTGGATAACCGACAGACCGGAGCGGTATATATGGCTCGTATACCTGTTCGCGTCCGGCAGGCATTGCAGGCACTTTAGTTATACCCGGACTTTAAGTATAAATGTTTGGTATTTATTTACAGTTTACATAGTTAATACAAATTAATATGAAATGTTAAATACCTAACAGTATTAACTCTGACCCCTTTGGGAGCCAACTGTAAGGCCAATACTCGGGTTAGCATGTTTAAACCAGCTTTTGCACAATGATATCCCAATTTGCCTCTAGACTAAATTTTAAATATGATAAATGTCAAACAATTAAAATTATAAATACACACTTCTAATATATTAATGGTATTTGAAGAAAATACTTATCTAATCTACTTTCTAGATAAAATAATACAAACTAAATGTGATATAATTTTTTAACTTACAGCCATAACGCCGGCACCGCTCGAGATGTTAATAATGACCCCTTTGGACGCCTCCAGGTGTGGGACAGCCGAGTGGATCACCTCTACAACAGCTCTCAAATCAATATTCATAACTTTATCCCATTCTTCCATAACATTCTTGTCGTGAATGTCTAAATTTGGGACAATTCCTGAATTATTTACCAAAACATCCAATTTTCCAAACGTTTTAATTGTTTTGTCAATTAATTTCTTGATGTCATCAGTTTTGGTTAAATCTGCCGACACTTGTAATGGCTATAGAAATATAATATAATATTTTGTGATTAATTGGCATTAACTCACATTTATATATTTGATGCAATTATGTTAATATTTATAATACCTTTAATTTTTTTGGTGACAATTCCAGCACTTCTTTGGCCACTCTTTGAATCTCTGTCTCATTACGACCGGTGACCACAACATTGGCCCCCAATATAGCAAACAGTTTGACAATACCCTCGCCTATACCAGAGCTCGAACCGGTGACCAACACTACTTTACCCGTGAAATCACGTGAATTTTTCACTTCAAAATATGCTTTGATGTCATTAGAAGACATGATTTTCAGTATTCACTATATTTATTTTTTTGATTGAAATACAAAATACTTTTTACTTGTAATTTTTCAATAAATTCTCTCACTTATATACCAATAATTTGCTGAATATACTGTACTTAAATGTATTCTTATTGTAAATATAAGTACTGATAGGTTATCAGTGAAAACACAAGTGTTTATAACATTGATGGATTTAAGTGCATTTCAAATGTATACTCTTAACTGTAGTACTTTAGTACCTCTACGAGCACTATAACGTACCAATGCTTTACAATTTTTGTTATCCGTATTGTGGGTAAAAATATCAATGTTATGAATGTGGTTAATACAGTATTTCCTTTTAATATTTTAACTATGGATGAAAATTTCACTAAAATAGTTTTAATTAAAAACTTAAATATAATATGATAAATTAATAAAATTTACAAAATAAATATATTAATATCTCTAATTTTATTTGTAAAATGCAATAAATTTGATTAAAATCCGCTAAGTAGCTTTCTTACAATTAAAAAGTTACTTTTTCCGTTGTCAACCTTGCAGTTTCATTTCATTTATCTATCAGATAATAATTATTATGTTACAAATATGATGTTTTTAATAATTAATATTGACAATCACGTTTAATGGTTTTTTCTTACCTTTTTAAAACGTCATTTAGGAATTATGCAAAATAATATTTAAAATTTCTAATAAATATTTTACACACTTGTTTTACCGTCAATGCCATTTTACACATTGATAATTAAGTATAGACCATGTTAAATTTATTTAACCGTTAATAAATTTGTTAGATGACTGTATTTTCCAGGATTATAATAATTTTATACATAAATTAAAAATAAGACTTTGTAAAATAAGAAAATTTTGAATGTCATTAAACCTTCACTTGACTGACATCAGACGTACAGCACCCCTACAGGTGTTCACATATGCTGTACACACATTGAAATGCAATGCCAATACTCTATTAAAATGTACACATAGGGGCAAACTGTGAGTACCCCCGATTATGTGTGTACAGCATATGTGAACACCTGTACGTGTGATTGACATCAGATATCTTTAAAAACTAAATAATCTTTATGATTATTATCACTGATAATTTCTCAGTAATAAACTGAACATCTCATTTAATGTTAAGCCGTTTAAATTAAAACAAGGTTAATTACTAATTAAATAATAATTATAAGTTAGTAAAGTATAAATCAAATAGAGTTATATAACGATTACTTTGTTACAAAACATCTAACTTGTAAGTAAAGTTAGTAACTTACCTAAATTAACAAACAATTTCTTACTTATTATTAATAATCGAGTTAAAAGACTCGTTTAAAGGTTAATAATCGATTAAGCAAATTAATAGGCAATCATGGTTATAATCAAATGTTAAACACTGTACATTTTGCTTAATATTTGATTATTATTTTAATAAATTTAATTATATTTTACTTATCAAAATCTTTATAAACATGATGATTTTATGTTTTCTTATAAACATATAATGATAATTCAATAATAATTTAACCCTAATTTACACAATACATAGTTTAATTAGATTGTAAAAAATGGTTGCAATTAAGATGGTTCAAACCGAGAGCACAACCTCACCAAACATATCAAAGACTTATAAATATGTGTTGACAACAATTTTGGGACTCGTTTATTGTCTATATGTAAATAAAGCAATCAATTACATCAATTGTATTTAAAACAATGAAATATGTTTTGTTTTTTATTTTAAATATAAAGCAATTCAATAACTATACATCGGGTCAATCGATAATGACTTTACAGCAAATCTATAGCACTAGTTATAGTCGGGTATCAAATGTCAACACTTTCCGTGATATCGGCTACGCTTTGGGGGCAATCAGTTGAGTGGCATTTTAACTACAATACATTAAAAAAAATAATCATGTTTATTAATAAATTTTTCAACCAATCTAGATGGTCTAGCATTCAACGTGGTGAATCGGCAACTTGGTTTAATGGTGTGTCTGTTGGTGATGGCGTTGACACAGGCATTAACACCATTTCTACGGTACGTCCCGATACTATACGCCGACTTTGCGCTCAACGGTTTCGCGTCGGGCGCTCTCGAGCTCTGTATCAATATATGGACGGCCGAGATGTGGGGCAAACAGTGCGGACCTCCCATACAATTTGTGCACTTTATCGGAAGTATAGCGACCTTGGTCACTGAGCCGCTGTTCGCGCCGTTCATCAGCCAAACCCCGGCGCCAACACTTAGACATTGCGACCACAACTGTACGCTCAGCGCCGATGAGCGCCAGTCAATCGCCGATTCACTGTTCATACCGTACGGCATATTAGCCGGCATTGAGACTCTATTAGCGCTAATTCTGGGCGCCCTATACCTCACCAAACCGTATGTACGCCGATATGTAGCCAACGGCGAGGGGGCGGTCACTACTTATGGTAAATTGCAAACTCATAGCAAATGTCGTAAATTTATAAATCAGTTAAATCGGGTATTTGTGGACGAATTTATGCCATCAAAATCGGTACTAATAGTGATAGTATTGGGCGGTTTTATAGCGGCGATCTCCAAGACGCTACAGTGGTCTCAGTTCCAGTACATTAACTCGTTCAGCGCGTTCACCATTGAGGCCACTAGCGGCCAGTCGACGGCCATCTACTCGGCCCTATCGGGCGCCTTCATCGGCAGTCGACTAATAAGCATACCTTTGGCACACTATTGTACGGCTCATTACTCGATGTTTGTCATGTTTTTGGTGATGATTGGGTCGGAAATAGTGATGCTTACCATTAGGACAGAGACCGGTGTTTTGGTGGCCAATGTGTTGTTTGGCCTAACGCTGGGCCCATTGACGGGCGCCGGCCTTCAGGTGGTCGAAGTGGTCACACCGTTGACCAACAATATAGGGCTGTTGTATATTTGGTTCACTGGTCTGGTCTGTGCCGTAACGCCCATTGTGTTGGCCGTCTATATGCTGGACAATCCGTATTCACTCGTCTATTGTAATATGTTTTTCACGATTTGCGGACTTTTGTTTGTTTTAATTATTTGTTTTATTCAAAACAAATTTATCGCTAATAAAAGCAATGATGTAAATTACAGTGTGTCCATTGACAACACTGTAGTAATCCCTATAGGCTTGACTAGTAGTGCGTAAATGAAATTGATAAATTATTGCTTTACATAATTATTATTATTTATAAATCATGCTATGTAAATTAACATTAATAAATTATTGTACAAACTTTTAACTTAAATCTAATTTTTAATAAAAACATTAAATAAATTATATTTTTATTTTAATGGAATGAATATTAGTTATGTATTAAATGTTTAAATACTATAATTCATAAACATATTCATTAAAAATACTACACATTTTATGTAAATATAAAAATGTTGTTATAGGAATGTTTTTATTGTTGTAATGATTAAAGCCTTCTCTCTCTCTCTCTCTCTCTCTCTCTCTCTCTCTCTCTCTGCATTAAATTTATACATTTGTCGCCAGAATTTTATATTTAATGTTAGGAACATCTTTCTTAATATTTTGATCATTATTTTTATCGCTAGAATTATCAATAGGATATTTAACGTAAATGACCAAGGCAATTGTGACGATAATAATGGCCACGATTGTCAACAAATCAATCGGACTGTTAAGTAATATACGGGAGAGTAGGGCCGCAAAGATGAGCTGAAAGCAGGCGCCGTACGTACGGAACACCGAGTTTAGTCGGTGCAGGTATAGGGCGGTCATCAAACCCATGGCGGCGTTATTTAGCAATACAAACACCAGTTTTGGTTCACTATATATAATATGCGCGATAAATGTGTGAAATTCGTGCCAATTGCTGACCGTATATATGATAATCGTATTGAATATAATTGAGTTTACGTATAGAAACGCGTTTTGTATCATTGGGTCCAACGGTCGACCTTTCAATAGGTACTCGTTGTAAACGCCGGCAAAACACGAGCACAACATTTGCACAAACACTGGTATCACGAGTTGGTATATACCGGTGCTCTCCGAATGTGTTACCATCTTATGGTCAGTCGTATCGGCGCCGGCAGTCGTGTAATATTTGGACACTTGTTTTATAATACAACCGATGGTTAACAGCGATAGCGATAACCATTGAATGCGCGATAATAAACGGCTGAAGAGTTTTTGGTAGATAATGGCTGTCATTACGATCCGAAATTGCCATAACATACTATACAATACAAAAATAATTAAAATTACATGTTTGTTTTATGCTTAAATTAATTTTATACATACTAATATTCAAACGGGTTCATTTTAGCCAAGTTAAAATACCATAATATATCGCTAAACAGATATAACACTGCCGGCACTGAATATAACAGGAATGTCCAATAGTTTTCAACACATATAGTTAAAAATTGATGCCCAACTTGTGTTATGGCAGTTATTCTGTTGTGGTTAATGTCGGTAAATATTTGGCACCAAAAGTATATGAGAATCGCTGCAAACAATTTGAGACACAAACAGTAGTAAACGATAATAAACGGATTGATAGTGTTTTGTTGTGTCGTCGACACTATTATCGACGATAGACTGTCACTAAATAGCGATATAATATAACCGCCGATTATCAACGACTCGGTGGACAGCGAGCCATACATTATACAAATTAGAACACAAAATAGTTAATTAATTAAATTATATTAAACACACGTTTACTAATGTATTAATACACAAACAAAACATTTAATTAATATTTATTAGTATAATTAAAAACATAGAAATATGTTTTCAAATATTGTGTATTACATGAGATTGATTTCAGGCGCTTATATTTGATTTGATATACAGTACATTGTAAGCAAATTGGCTTAAATAAATCAACGTGATATTTGGGCCACATAGTTGATTTTGTATAGTTTCTTTTTGGTTACATAAACTATAATTAATGTAATTAACATACATTAAGATATTTAAATGTAAATTTACATTAATAATTATTTGAGTTATGAATTAATTTAAGTTAATAATGAATATAAATAAATTACTATCGAAAACGTAATATAAAAAACAACAATTAAATTAAAGTTACATTTAGAAAAAAGCGAAATTTTATAACAAATAATAAAATTTTATTTTTAATACACAAACATTGTTTTGAGTGCAGTTTAATACAAAACTGGTAGATATCAGAGACCATGAATCCACCACAAGTTGGAGCGGGAGCTGTTGGCGGGGCAGATGACGGACCTGATGAAGAGATGGACATTGAGGAAGAGGTACAAATAAAATGGGATCCGCCCCGACCTGTTGATGTGTTTAAGGGAGTGCCGCCACAGGTGGTTCCCGGGGCGCAGGCATACGGATCGATGTACTACTGGCAGATGGGAAGCGCGGGTATACCGCGAAAGCCGGCCACAGATTGGGCGGCCAGTGACAAAAATTTGCCACAAGGGTTTAGAAAATACAAGGCACCAAAATACAGACCCAATTACATTCAAAGTAAACTGTCCCAAAGAATTGGACGGCTGCCGGCCCCATACGGTCGAGAGAAGTATGGTGGGGGCCGACTGATGGGACCCCTCAATATTACCGACATTCACAAAACCGATTTGCCCGATCTGAGTGCATCCGTTAAAGTCGATTACAGCAAATTTACCAAAACTGTCCAATGTTTGGGCTTTGAGTTTGGAAACAAGTTGGGTTCGGGCGGTTTTGGCGAAGTGTACGCGGTTTATGACCGCAACAATCAGCGCGTTTTGGCGGCCAAAGTGCTCAAACTCGAGCAATTCATATCATACAAAACACTGCCCGAAGCGACCGCACAAATGCTTCGAGAGGTAAACAATATCAGAGGCCTATCGCACCAACACTTGGTCTCTGTTGAGTCGGTGGCCGAAATCCAGGACCCGGAGACGGGAACCCCGGCCTTCGTTGTGTACGTGTTTATGGAGTTATGTGACGGCGATCTCCAACAAGAGATCCCCGCCAATGGTATGTCAGAGTTTGACGCCAGGTATTGGTTTTTCCAGATCTGCGACGGCCTGGAGTACCTGCACGACCACGGGGTGGCCCACCTGGACATCAAGCCCCAGAACATACTGCACGTGACCGACCAGACCAACATCAAGTACTACAAACTGGCCGACTTCGGTCTGGCGCAGCTCAAGGCTCGGGTGCGCACCACTCAAATACATCAGACGCCGACTATAGCGGCGCCCGAGCGGTACACAGAGGCGGCCATTCAGGCCGAGCAAAGGGGCCGTCCGTACGAGATGAACGTCAAACAGATGGACGTGTATTCACTGGGCGTCACTCTGGCCATGACGTTGGTGGGCACTCAAGTACACTACAACCAGTTCACACGCCGAGCGCGCACTGGTAAGCAATATCTGGACGCTCAGGCCTACGTACAGCACGGCGTCCAGATTGTCAAGAATATGACCCCCAAAGACCCGCTCATCAATTTGTTGAACGCCATGACGTGTGAGAACCCTTACAAGCGTTTGACTATTCAACAGATTAAAGCCCACCCATGGATTCCCAGACACTTCCCATAGAAATGGCTGCAAAATAGGTATTTTTACTAAATAAAATAGTTTTTAACAACATTCTTCATTTCACTGCAATTATTAAAATATATGTTAAAATAGCTATAAAATGATAGACAAATCCCGAAGTGGTAATTAACTGTTATGAAAACTATTATCTCTATTAATTTCTAGAATTATTTTTAATTTTAATACTACAATGTGCTAGATATACAAAATAACAATTATGTAAATTAATTTTTTAAACAAATATGAGAATTTTATTTTAAAAATACATTAGAAAATTGTTTTGAATACAATTTTGAAACAAAATTAGTAGACATCAAAGACCATGAATCCAGCACAAGCTGCGGCTATAGCTGCGGCGGTAGCTAATGAGGGGCGGCCACTACATGTTGATGTGTTTACGGGAACGCCGCCAGAGGTGGTTCCCGGGGCGCAGGCATACGAAAAGATGTACTACTGGCAGATGGGAAGCGCGGGTATACCGCAACAGCCACGAGGTATCAGAAAAACCCAAGTGCCCCAATACAACCCCAATTACGTTCAGAGTAGACTGTCCGCCGCGATTGGACAAGACCCGGCCCCATACGGTCGCGACCGCTATGGTCGGGGTCGAATGCAAGGGCCGCTCAATATTACCGACATTCACCAAACCGATTTGCCCGACCTGACCAAATCAGTTCAGGTGAACTACAAGAAGTTCTTCAAAACTGTCCGGTGTTTGGGCTTCGAGTTCAAGCAAAAGCTGGGTTCGGGCGGTTTCGGGGACGTATACCGGGTGAGGGACCACAACAATCACCGAGATTTGGCGGCCAAAGTGCTCAAACTGGAGAAGTTCACAAAATACGGAACTCTGCCCGAAGCGACCGCACAAATGCTGCGCGAAGTGAACAGTTTGAGAGGTCTGTCGCACCCGAATGTGGTCTCTGTCGAGTCGGTGGCCGAAATCATTGACCCCGAGACGGGAACCCCGGCTTTCGTTGTGTACGTGTTTATGGAGTTATGCGCCGGCGATCTGTTCGACGAGGTGCCCAACCAGGGTCTGGACGAAGTGGACGCTCACTATTGGTTCGTCCAAATAGCGCAGGGCCTGCAGTATCTGCACGAGCACGGGGTGGCACACATGGACATCAAGACTGAGAACATACTGCACGTGACCGACCAGTCGGGCGCCAAGGTCTACAAACTGGCCGACTTCGGGTTGGCCCAAATCAAGACGTGGGTCCGCACCACTCAAATAGTGTCGACGCCGCACATAACGGCGCCTGAAAAGTACTCACCGGCGGCCAGAATTGCCGAACAAAGCGGTGATCCCATGAAACTGAAGGTCAAACAGATGGATGTGTACGCTCTGGGCGTCACTTTGGCCATCTCGCTGGTCGGCGGCCGTATCCTTTGGAGTCATTACATGCGTAATATGGGCGGCGCTAATGTCATACTCTCCGCCCGGGACTATATATTCAATGGCGTGGAGAGGGAACTGCATTACCCCTCCCAACACCCGCTCATCAATTTGTTGTACGGAATGACGTGCGACGAACCGCACAAGCGTTTGAAAATGCCCCAGGTGCTCAAACACTACTGGGTTATCATGTAATACTGAGCTCCCACCACTCTCACAAAAATCTATGTGCCACTTAAATGGCCTCGCTATTTTTAGTAAATAAATTATTGCCCGACAAAACAAGTTTAGTATTTTGCAACTTATTCTACTTTGTAATGAAATTATTTATTTTTAAACAATTACAGTTATTGTACGGCTGAACAACCTATGATCCCAATAAACGTATGCCATTAGAGTCTGTACTTCAACACCATTGGGTGACACAGGAGGGCTCGTGGAGGGCACCCAAACCTATGAGCCCCCATGTTTGATACAACAGTTATTGTTTGTATTAAATCTATTATAGAAATGCAAAATCTATTTAATATTTGCTATCAGGGTTTTGGTTTTTTGGTTATATAAAATTAACTAAAAATTTTATGTTACAAGAAAATGTAAAAGTAATTTAACATATATTTATAACTTTACGATAATTAATAACTGGTTTTAGTTTATTAACTCTTTTATCATTATTATCTACATTAGTAACATATATAAATTTTTATGCACTTCATTAAATATCTCCGTTACCATAGCTATTATATGTATATTTAATATAAGTTTATTACTATCTTGGCAATTATAAGTTAGATTTCAATATACAAGTCACACATAATTGTAAAATATTTTATTAAATGTGATTTAAAATAACATTATATATAATTTTAAGAGATGGAGAAAATTAAGAATCGTGGTGAATATATTCGTGATTTTATCAAGATTAAAAGTTTGATCGAGGTAAAAAACCTAAATCAACTTTATGTGAAACTTCGAGAGCATCGCAATTTCAGTGATGAAATGGAAAAGGTGGTCGAGGTGAGTTAATTAACTTTTTGTGTACAATAATCAATACAATAGATTAATTGGAATGTATATAAATGTGCCAGAAATTAGATGACGATGGTCAAAAGTTGATATTTATATTGGTTTGGTTTACGCGATCGCGACATACTTGCGATGAATTGATAGGACTATTGCGCGAATCGGGTCAGACAGCGGCCGCCGACCAACTCGTTGAACACAATACATCTAAAGGACATAATATTAAGGCTTACAATATGTGGGAACCCGAGTTTTGGGTGGCAGAAATACCGTTAGTATTAATGCTAATCAATTATTATCCATCATGCTTTTTGTATTTATATTCATATTTATCATTATAAGTTAATACAGAGCGTGAATCACGTAAGCTGAGTATAAGGGCGTTGTTTCTAGATATTTTTCTTGATAAGCTATGTAATTTACATATGTACAGAGTACATAATGTAAAGTGTTTATAAAAAAAATTTGATTTTCACTTAACTTTAATGAAAACTAGTATTTTTAAAATTCAAGTTTATTTAAAATATCTGCACAAATAATGCACCAAAAATAAATTAAATATAAATTCTATGAAAATATTTCATATTTACTTTAGAGCTGTAAATTATATAACTTGATTATAACTAAATAACAACTTTTTAAGCAAAATTTTGAAATACACTGTACTTTATATAAATTTAAAACATAATTATATTGAGTTTTCATTGCATAGATTTGAGCCGTCAAAGGATATAATGAAGGGAAGCCTTCCCTTCCCAATGGATCGTAAGCCGAGAGGAAAGTGTATTATAATAAACAATGTGTCAAAAGATGTGTTTTTGGAGTCCAAGAGATTTAAATACATTTTTGAAAAACTGCACTTTCAAGTGGAAGAGAAGTACGATTGGACTGCAGAAGAAATGGCCAACAATTTACAAGTGATGGCCAAAGAGGCGGACAACTCGTCGCAAGCCTTTGTCGTAATGATTATAACTCACGGATTAAAAGAGCGTGTATTAGGTGTGAAGGCGTGCGCAGCGCTTGAAGTACTAGAGCGTAACCCCAACGACACTAAAGCCCAGGTAGTGGTGAAAACAGACGTGAAGGAAATTGTCGATATTGTGAACACGTTTTCCGTTAAGAATTGTCCCCAACTTCTCAAATGTCCGAAACTGTTCTTCTTTACGTGTTGTAGAAATGGTGAAACACATCTCATTAAATGATCAAATTTTGATAATCACAATATAATATTCATTGAACCAATGGTTTTAGTGCGGGAGACAAGCGATACGTGCGCCGAACCGGAGGCCAAGCGCCGCGATTTGGCCAAACCAATCGGCGCCGTGGCCTCAGATGAGGTTCCGGCCATGAAGTCGTTGAACAAGAAATGGGTTGACAACAACACCAATACATTTGTTTCCTATTCCTGTGCTAAAGGTATTGTAGAATGAAATTATAATTGTTTATACATTTTACTTATTTTACATTTTACATATTTACTGACACCAAATTCAATTTGACTGCACTACTAAATAGGACGCAAAACATGGTTTTATCCTTCGCTGGGCATCACTTTCTTCGGACAGTCGTTAAGCCATTGCATCGCTCAATACTCGTGCGAAGAGTCGTTATCACAGATAATGATCAGGGTCAGTGACTGTAATTCTGTGTATTTATCACAATTTACTAACTCATATTGTTTTCAATAGACATACGATTTATTGCAGTTATTTGCCGCTCAAACGCTCAAACGAAACAAACTCAATCCAACCGAGTTTAGGTGTAAAGGACTTACACGTGATCTTTATTTCAATCCAACTCCAATTGACTAATCATATATTGTATTTGAAAATGTTTTTTAAATATTCACTTATTTTGTGACTTATTTTATTGATTAAATGTTTGCTTCTTCTCAAAAAATGTATCTCAAAATTATTTGTAGTTATAAAATGTTTGTAAATCTATTGTTCTAGCATGAAAAATTAAATATAAAGTTATTTTATAAAGATTACTTTGAATAATTAAATTATTTAAATCCTTTTCCCACAAGGCATAAAAATGTAAAATAGCATTAACATCTATGTAATAAGACAGTATTTTGTGATATTATTGTACAATGTATGCGTTTATATAATAACAGTTAATATTTCCAGTGTACAGGTCTATAGTTTAAGAATAATCTAAAGTAAATAACCTTGTGATTTTATACAAAAAAATATTATAAAATGCAAAATTATTTATATTTATTGTAATAAAACTTAAATATTTAATTTAGATAGCTGTTTTTTATTTTTATTTTCTTAACTCTTTTATCACTATTATAATAACGATATTAAAATGCATTTCATGTGTTAATCAGTGTAACCATAGTTTAAATAACATTGATTATATGGTATATTATCAAATATAATTATATATTTATTATAACGTGTAAGTAATGTAATGTCATATAAAGTAATGTAAAGTACTTTATAAAATTATAAGTATTTAACGTATTACATTTAATTGAACATGTTTTGTTAATTGAATTTTCAATTAAAGTATACTAAATTAAAGGGATGGAGAAAACAATTAATCGCGCTGAATACTTCAGTGGTTTTATCAAGTTTAAATACATTGTTAAACTAAATGACAAACTCATGGCCGATCTTGAACAACATCCCTATTTCCGAGATGAAATGCAAAAAGTGGTCATGGTCAGTTAATTTGTTGTACAATAGTTAATATAATTAATTGATTGAAATTGCAATTAAATTGTGGCAGCAATTAGAGAGTGAGTGCGAAAAGTTGGTCTTTATTTTGGTTGAGTTCACGCGTACGCGAAGTACTTGCGATGCATTGATAGGCCTATTGCGCGAATCGGGTCAGACAGAGGCCGCCGACCAACTCGTCCGATACAATACGTCCAAAGGACACCAAATGCAAAGTTTTAACGTTTCGGGTCCAGAGTTCACAGATCCACAAATACCGTTAGTATTCATATACAAAATGTTTATATGTTTTTTATTGTATTAATTTTTTTATTGAAATTATAATAAAAAACAAATATTTACTAGTCATTTAATAATTATACCCTAAAAACATATACAGCTTTCAGGCATCTAAGAGTCCAATGACGGGAACTCTTTACTACAAAATGGATCAAAAGCCGAGAGGAAAGTGTTATATAATAAACAATGTGTCCAAAGATGTGTTTATGGAGTCCAAGAGATTTAAATACATTTTTGAAAAACTGCACTTTCAAGTGAATGTATGTCAAAATTGGACGGCAAACCAAATGACCACTAATTTGAAAGCGATGGCCAAAGAAGCGGATGACTCGTCCCAAGCCTTTGTTGTGATGATTATAACTCATGGATTAGAGGAGAGGGTATTGGGTTACGAGGCGTGCGAAGCGCTCAGAGTATTGGAGTTTAATGCCAATCACACGGAAGCCAAACAAGTGGTCGCCGCGGATGTGATGGACATCAGAGATATTGTGGACACGTTTTCCGATGAGAATTGTCCGAAACTCCGAAACTGTCCGAAACTATTCTTCTTTACGTGTTGTCGAAATTGTAAAA